TTTCAAAATCACGAAAATGAACTTTCTGGGATGAAAAGGGTTGAAAAACTGCAGGGACGCGGAATAATGAATTATGACCTAGAAAGAAAATTTAATTTGGCGTGTTTTAATTTTCTACGTCGTGATACTTTCGAAAAGGTGGCTAAGGAAGGTTATAAACGCGGAAACTTATGAATACGTTTCAAATGGAAAACCTTTTTTTATTTAAAGAAAAATACTCGACGTAATAAAATTATATTTAAATGGAAAAACACATGATGAGTTTCACGTTGATTCTCAGTTAATTTTAACTATTTAATGTGAGGAGAATATGTTTTAAGATGAACATTCAAGTGTAATTAATTCAAAATAATTCGAAATAATTCATAGGAAGTTAATGTTTCAGTAGAATTTTCAGCATGTACGAACAGTAACAAACTGTTCAGTTAACGCTCTGAACGTTTCTTAACGTTTCTTAACGTTCAGTTAATATTTAGTTACGCATTTCCTGAGAAAATAACCCAATGGTGAAGAATCGCATTGAAGTGATGGTCAGTTAGTGTGTAAGATCCCCTGGATTGAAAATTGTTTATTATTAATTGAACTATGAAATATCTATACAAAAAACTAACTTATAACTTTTTGTTTCATGATTTTCAAAAAGTTTGTGTTTGTTCTGTGGTTGTGTTTACTACCGGCCAATGTTAACATGTCATCGCATTCCCAACTACACTTTTCTGTATTTTTCAGAACTTGATATTCGAGTAATTAATTTATATTCAACCAGTCAAGAACTCTTCAATTAGTGTGCATTTGTTTGTCTTCAGTATACTGCTCAAGAATCTGTTTTCTAAGATTTTTAGTTGTCCTAGGTTATCCTTTAATGAATCCTGTAAAATCGACGCAAGAGAAGATATTATTCTTAACTTTTTGTCAACAGCACAATAGAAAAAATATTTCGAAGAATTTTACGAATTATATTCGATATACCTGTTTTTCAAAACTTTTTCCACGATTTCATTCTTCACAATCTGTATTTTGGTTATTGGTTATTATTGTTCAGTTAAAAAACCGAAGTTCCTCCAAAATCTGTTTTTTCAGTCAGCATAGCTTCAGTTTGTTTTGTGTTCAATTTCAAAATATTACTTTGAAGATTTTTGGTAAGTGCTTCCATATCATCATCTAAGTTTAATATAGCCTTTTGAAAAAATGGTACATTTAGTGCGTTATGTATATCAATGTACCATCAGCAGACATTTTCATTGAACAATATTTCGAGTTCATTATAAAAATGGAAAGCAACAAATTAAAATTAACACATTTGGCTCAAGTTTCACTGAATATATTGAAAACTCTACATATGTTTCGGGTGGTTAACCCATTATCAAGAGTATACCTACAATATATATTGGATAATCTTGATAATGGTTTAACCACCTGAAACTTATATAGAGTTTTCAATATATTTAGTGAAACTTAAGCCAAGTGTGTTAATTTTAATTTATCGTTTTTAACATAATGTTCAACCAAGAGATAAGCGAAACCTCCGTGTCATCTGTATAGTAATTGTGTTATACCTATATACACATTCACTGATTCAGGTTCAAGATCATTTGAAACTCTAGAATCCGTCTTGTAGGCAACTTTCTATCCATTTTAAGGGATGCAGTACTCTTTCGAATCTTTTCAGCTTTTCTTATAATATTTCTCTATCTATAGTTTCTAAGGTCCTCAAAAAATTTAAAAAAAACGCAACAACAAAAAATTTTCATCCACACGTCGTCTGTATTCTTTCATTCAACTTAATATTGTTATTTATGTAGATTTATTAGCTTTAAAACCATTCAGAAAGTTATGTTGTATACCTTTTTTCTCGCATGACAAGATAACTGGATATAGATTGCTGGTGGTTCTGAAACATTCTCTATCGCTAAGAGCATATCATTAGGTCTGGTATCACATTTTTTTAGTTAAACTAGTCACAATAGCTCACAATGAACAAGCTACAAGTTCAAGAAAAGGAAGTTAAATTTCTTTCAAGAACGGTTCCTTTTTACTTCGTTGTATATTTTTGGAGTGACTGATAAGTTTAAAGAGATTATTTACGTAGTCGAATATGAATTACTATTGAGAAGTTCAAAGTTTACCTCACAAAGATTTATTGATGGAGGAAAAGTACTTCAGTGCTTGATTGCCAAAAATCTGTTGAAATTGATCGAAAATTCTCCCAGAACTAGAAAACTTCAGTTCCTGAAAATGAAGGATCATTCAATGGAGATGGCGTGAAGAAATTTTGTTTGAATGAAAAAAGAACTATAAAAGAAAAACAAATCTGGTATTGCAGAGATGAGTAAAAAGCATGAGTAACGAAAATCTGAGCCAAGAAATCCTATAGCAAGTTGAGTATCAAAAGAGACCCTTTGCTTTTTCTTCGTCAGATACAGCTTCATAACACAGTATACCAATCAATATCACTCAAGGTCTATTAGCAAAGTTCCATTTCGGAAGTTCGGAGTTGGTGACCCGGAGGATCGTCTCGTTAGGTCGCGTGACAACTTGTGTAATAAGTCATCTAAACATGTCAGATATCGATAACATCGACTCCAAAAGGACGAATGAATGACGGAAGGTGCAAAAGTTGCCAGATTTTCACACTCGCCGTGTCCGCCGCTGCGACGTCGATGACGTTGCCGAGCAGATTGCGTTGACGTGGCCGGGAGCCCGGGGGAATACACAGGGCCCCGTTATCGACGAAGTTGGAACGTTAATTAAGGATTTCTATCTGGATTTCTGACGGGGCGAAAGAGCGACAGCGCAAGAAGAATAGATTATCTGAGTCCCGAGCGATGTGTTCGCCTTTCCGTCTCGCTCTCTCGCACTCTTTCCTCGTCGCCTGTTTCGGCTTTACCGACTTCCCCCGCTAGGAATTAATTGTTTACACAAAGTTATTTGATCTCAGAGAGTGCTGCCACTCATCCCGCTTCCTACTTGTTATTAAAACTTTCAAAAAGACATTCTGCTCAGTTCTGTCAGCCAGGTAAGGCAAACCCTTTGCAGAAATATCTCCCGCAAAGTATTTTTTGAAGGAATTGTTGCTAATTAATTGTGAAGGTTAATTCTGTGAAATGAACAGACGTGCTATGAGAAACATGAACCCAAACGCTTTCCCTTCACTTATATATTATGCAAAGCATAATATATAAGAAAGGGAAATATCTTTTATTTAACCTGAGACAATCTGCAACGATTCCACTCAAAATTGAGGCATATTTCGCATTTCTTCTTTTATGTCTTCATCTTGTTCTCATCTTTCGAAGTTTTTCCTCTGTAGAGATTACGAATTTTTTATTGAGTGGCATAGAACACCTCAAGGATAAATGGAGGAATTAGTGAAATATATTTCTTCTCACGAACTTAATCATGGTGCACTCTTCGTAATCACTGGTTCCATCCATTGCTCGGAAATTTCGTATAGAGTGAATGTTTTCAACACCAATTCTAAGTAGATATGAAAAGTGTTTGAAGCTACCACTTGAGCACCTTGGTAGCCTCATTCTGTTTTCTACTGGTTTTATCATTCAATTAAACAGTCGAACTTTTTTGTGTCTCTCAGTTTAATCAAGAAGTACTGACTGCAAGATTTTTATTTTGGGGCCATCCATTAATATTGTGATTTTTTCTTTAATTTTCAACCCCACCTTCTCATTGGTGATACATGGAGAGGTTCAATACTACCTCCCCTTCCTGTATTTTTTAGTATCTACAAAGAATCCTAATTTTTTCAAAATATTTTCTATAAAATACAAGTTTGAGTATCATCACATTTCATTTGAGAAAATGAGAATACTCCAAAAGGTAATAACCTTAAGAAGTAGACAGGAAGGTTGCAAGTTGTTTTGAACATAATTTAATGTACAATGTCCTCAGACCAAGGATTAGTAAGACTTTCTTCATCGCAAATAACTGCATAGGCATCTTGCAAGTTAGTTGGAGGCACAGTGCTTCGTTGAAGATCACCATCGGGTTCATCAAGCCACTCGGCGTCATCATTTTCGCGCACCACACAGAGAATCTCTCTCGATCTACCGTTCGTTCGTCGTGCGAGGATGCGACAAGGACAAACATTGTACATCTCTAGAGTGTTATTGCTCAGATTTAGTTGCTTATGACAAGAATTCAGATGTGCTTTTACTTTTGTTTCTGTACAGAAGTACAATGCACACCGCTGGCATGTCCTTTCCGAAAGTATCTGATCCTTCTGCAGGCTAGGGCAATACAGGTCATAGGTCAATTTACGGAAGCCTTCATACGTTGTAGTAATTTCGAGAGACCTACGCAAAAGAAATGGAGCAAACGTCTTGCCATCATGCTCTTGAGGCTTTGGAATATATAAGCCACTGAACGACTGCAAAATGGATCGTATAGAACTCCGCATATGTCCACAGCAAACGCGATCATCACACTTCACCACCTGCTGATGATAATAAAATATTTCAATTGTATTGTCATATATTAGATAAGAAATATCTATGTGTGAATCAAGGTCACACTGCAAGCCGCGTTCGAATTTGTACGCTTTCAAGGAAAAAATAAAAACATGTAACGCCGCTTTTCGGTTCATTATTGCTCGCTTGACGAAAAAATAAATACTCGGGATATATTACTACAAATCCGCCTTCCCCTCGTGATATTTCGTGACTTTTTTAAGAACCCCCACCACCCTTTTCGAGCCTCGCATGATTAATGGACGGCCCTTTCAAATAATAGACCTGGTTCATCATCATTGATTAATTATTCAATAGTGTTGGCGTTTACTTGATATAAATCCATTATAATTGAATATAAACATAAATTCAAACACTTGAACTTATCATTTACACTTTATTGACTACATAGCATGACGCGTTTGATTAAAACATGTATTACCTATTATGTAGCAGCTAATTGATATAGTCATATGACCTGTGTGTTTTTAATGATATTTGTCAATAAGGAATAATTTTGCCAATATACAGATTTCAGCTCCTTGGCTTAGTCGGGAAAGCAACCGACTATGATGCGTTAAGATTCGGGTTCGAGCCCCGGTTTACCATGGATGTATGTGCTTGTCTACGATTTGAATAGTTTAATGATAATAATTGTTGGGTCATATTAATTGATTACAAACCCACGATTACAAGCTCATTAGCTGTTCGGAACCTGCGTTAAACTGTGGATCCACTAAACAAAAAAAATACAGATGCAAGAAATAGTTTTTAGCAGAGAAGAATTTGTTACCTATAAATAGAGGTTCGGCATTATTTCACTATCTGAAGTTGTCAAGTCCAACTTATATAATAATATATTTATATGCTGAATTAGAAATTTCGAGATTTCGAAGGGGTATTTGTTAGAGCAAATTGGTTAATATTCCATTCATTTCAAATATTCAATACTCATCCGACATTTCGACTGTAATTGTGAATTTAAATTCACTGAGATTCAAGACTTCAATTTGCAATAACGCAGAAAGTTCAAGCTCCGAAATAAAATGAAAAATACCTAACAAATGTCGCCACGATATCAATAGAAATGATATCTTTATTCCTTGGCGAAATATAACAGTTGAAGAAATTTTCTCGATTTTTTTCCTTCGAAAGAAAAATTTTGCGGAAACGCATAATTTGGTGATCAATTCGACGTTGTGCAACATTTCTGCTTTTGAAACTGACACATGAAGTAAAATTTCCTCCCACGGTCAAACAATTACTTTTCTAGTTTTTCAAAAACGCATTGTCATAAACCAATTCAAATTGAAAAATAGATGTCAAAGAATGAATTGGGTAATCTGTTAAGAACGTGAAAGTCTAGTTTTTGAGGTGTGGAATCTATGATATTCATTCAGAGGATAGTTATTTCGTTTTCTTTCGCACGTGTAACCTTCTATAAAATATTTCCATAATATAAGCACACTTAAAATTCGCTTGTTTCATCTCTTCGTCGAATATCAAGTATCTTGCAACGGTATTATTTCTATTCACTTTACACTATACTTACCACTAAAGAAACAGATAATTAAAACAAAATTCCTGCTTTCCTTCTTCACTCGAAACTTCAGTAAAATCTCACATTCACCCTATTCCGTTTAAAAGGTTTTTCCGGCTCTCTGGATTCCTCACAGCGTTCCATACATACTACTATTCATAATGCTCGAAAAAATACTGCTTTTCACGAAAAGCGTCCATGAGCAATGAAAACCGTCGGGAAATATTGCCGGGGCTTTGAGGCAAGCATTCGAGAGTTTCTTTTGATTAATTTTAACAAGATCTTTTGGAGCGTAGGTGGCTCTGAAGGTGAATGGTGGATCGAAGTGCGAAAGTTTTCGCAAGGTGCAGACACTTGTCCAACAAATAACTTTAATTAATTCATCAAACGGACACCGTATGCCCTCGACAATAATCTGTGGATTTATGGTAGTAAACAAATTATTTTATGTTCAAAATGTGAAACGAGCAATTCTCATTCGGAATAAGGTACACTATTATTGACAGGTTTAAGATTTGTGGGCTACAAATGAAAAGAAAGAGAAGTGTTATTTACTGCCAGGGCGAAAAAACCATATAAATATAAAAAAACACTTGAACGGTGATTCTATTTCGAGTGACATGAAACTACGATATCCATTGGCACAGTTGAAATGCATCGAAAATATGTTATATATGATATATATATATATATATATATATATATATATATATATATATATATATATATATATATAATGAGGGTTAAATGAAACACAATTCTCACAACTCCAAACTTTTGGAGTTGTGAGAATTGTGTTTCATTTAACCCTCATTATAAAAATGAACTCACACAGGGATAATACCATTTCATATATATATATATATATATATATATATATATATATATATATATATATATATATATATATATATATATATATATATATATATATATATATAAGCATGTACCATGTGATTCGTCCATGTGTACGTCCTTCAAAAGATAATGTTAAAGAATATTGAAATCGATTCCATACTTGATGGAAGCACAAGAAGGACTGTTTGGTTCTACAAGGAACTCATCAGTTGTGCGCCATCCATAACGTCTACGTGCATAAGTAATGCAACAAATTCAATCTTCATTCACATTCTCATCGTACTCATATCAGATCTTGAATACTTATAGCTATTTTCACTGAACACACCAGGTATGTTCTATGTCTTACTTGGAATGAGGACCATAGAATACAACTGATATAGAACAAAAAGGATCATATACCTGGAAATGAACACCGAAAATCATTTTCTTAAGACAGGTATACCAACTAAATGTAGGAAAAGATACAAATAATATAACACTAAGATTTCTTAGAACAAATAAAGGAAAGTTAAAATTTTTTTCAATATGAAACATAAAATTTAAAGTAATTAAATAAAACCTAGGTAATCAATCTGATCTGCTACCTGGAATATTCTCATTGGACATATTAAGTAGAGGGCTAGTGTTAACATCTAATTGGCTCAAGTAAAAGTGCCGAATTTTTTAATTTATTAATATGTAATGATTCTAGAAGGTTTAGCTTGGAACCTTTATTCTCTCTATTCAATATTTCAAACTCAGAACTAAATCTATAACTTTCCTCTACTAAATGGTTAGCATAATGAGAATCTCCAATAATCTAATTTGGAAATTTCTGAAAGTTCTTCTTATATAAAATTTTTCACAACTACCACTAATATTTCTTCTCGTTCCACTCATAATATTGGTAACATAATTAAAAATAATAAATAAAAAATTGATAAAAATCAAATGTGTGGGGTATACAAAATTAAAAGTGGTAGTTGTGAAAAATTTTATATAGGAAGAACTTTCAGAAATTTCCGAATTAGATTATCGGAACATAAACGTAGTTTTGAGAAAAAGAAAACACATGCTCATTATGCTAAACATTTAGTAGAGGAAAGCGATATCTTCAGTTCAGAGTTTAAAATATTAAAAAGAGAGAATAAAGGTTCCAAGCTAAAACTTCTTCAGATTAATAAATTCAAAAATTCGGCACTTTTACTTAATAGCCAGTTAGATGTTAACACTAGCCCTCTACCTACTTAATATAGGTAGTGGAACCTAGAATATTCAATAAGAATATTCCAGGTAGCAGATCAGATTGATTACCTAGGTTTTAGTTAATTACTTTCAATTTTATGTTTCATATTAAAAAAATTTTAACTTTCCTTCATTTGTTCTTAGAAATCTTAGTCGTATATTATTTGTATCTTTTCCTACATTTAGTTGGTATACCTGACTTAAGAAATTGATTTTCTGTGTTTATTTCCAGGTATACGATCCATTTTGCTATATATCATTTGAATTCTATGGTCCTCATTCCAAGTTGGTCATAGAACATACGTGGTGTGTTCTGTGAAAATAGCTATAAGTATTGAGTTTGTGAAATTACACCTAGTATTAATCCAGCATTTGATAAAGAAGTAGTACTTCGAAGCGTCGTCATGCGGATTTGTATTAAAATTATAAGAAAATTCTTGATATTATTTCATTATGGATAATATTTTTCTCCAAGTATCGGCCTCATCAATCATCATAGTTGTATTTCACATATAATATATATTTTTTCCTCAACGACCAAATCAAATAGGACCAAAGAGAATATATTAAATCCTATAGACATAAATTAACCTACAGTTTGAAAAAGAGTTCATACGGTCTGCAGTTATATGTGCAGTATTTATTTGGAGTGAATCATTATATTTCTTTTGCATTGCATATATTAGAATGAATAATGGGAGTTCTTATCCATATGATCTTTAACTATGTAATATTTAAAGTTCACTCTTTCAAGGAGTTTTTCATTTTCTCTTCCCTTTATCGTCCAGTTTGAAAATATATCAGTACCATCAACAGAATAATTTTTCCTTTTCTTTATTGAATAATATACGTTGATACGAACATTATTTCGACCGAGTAATCATTACTTGAAATATAATATTCGGTAGGTTAGCTCGCTTTAAAATATTTGGCATCATGTTTCCAAATTACTTACTCTCTCCGGGCGGTGATTTGCGTGATCCTGAAAAAAGATATTTCGTTACAGGCGTTCGTATTTCCTTACAATGTTCATCACTTGCCTTCTAAGATACAATATCCAGTGACATCCCCGAACATGATTTGAATTTGGAAAATTCACGTAATTGCGCAGGTACTTTGGTTCCAAGAATTCATATGCGCTATGAATATGACTGAATTCTCGTCTAATGACAATATTCAGCCTGCTCTAGCAGAGGCTAGATGAGAACGATCTTCAAGTGCAAATAATTTTTGGAGATACACTTGACAGAATATAAAAACATGGGATGAAATTCTTCTGATTGATGTCAGGCTCGTATGGTCAGCCCTATCTTAGAAGCAAATATTTATTTGCTTATTGTATGAAGCCCACACAAAGTGAAAAGCGTTTTTGAAACCAAGAAACTGAATCTTACTTGCTCTGAAAACACTAATGACATAAAAAAAATTGTTTGATACGTTAATTGAATCTTGAACGGAAAATTTCGTGTTCAATTGAGTTTTTCTTTTGCGTTCCTCAGTATTGCAAATGTGAAGTATACGACTAACAAATTATATATAAAAATGTGAAGCAAAAAATTTGTAACCTCCTTTGAGAAAACTGACTAATTGAGGAGAGAACTGAAAGAATTTGAACTGAAAAAAATTGACGCTTTGGCATTGTTTCCATCCGTATAGTTTTTCCTAATTTGAAAAATAGATTAACTGAAACTTATAAAGGAGGTCATGACATAAACATCATATGTTCTTCAACAAAAAACGGCTACTAGCGATTTTGGAGAAACATACTTCATTTCGATGCTTCGATTCGTCATTATAGCTCATAATGGTCCAGAGTTTCAGATCGAAAATTTGGGAAAAAGTGGACTTTTCAAACTATATGTTTGAAATGAGTGCATGAAATTAAATCACTGGACAACTCTGTTCAACTTCAGCTATCGCTGGACCATGTTGCTAGTTGGTGTGAGGACAATTATTCGAGTTTGAATGTGTCAAAGAGTAATGTTGTCTCT